AAATTATGAAGTTATATGAGAAGATTATAGGAGTTATATGAAATTGAATTAAGTAAACAGATTAGATCATATATAGAGAAATAATAGAAGTGAGATATGTTTATAAGTCTGCCCTAGATGAATATGAATACGAAATATAAGAGTGTTATATGATTTATATTAGGATAATCTTGAGGATATATATATATAGATATGAAATGAAATGAAATGAGTATATGAATACACAATTATGTGATGAAATGGTGGATTACCTGAACATGTGAATATATATATATATATATATATATGTCTAAGAGAAGGCATAAGATTAAGATATAAGCAATGTGACTATAAGTGTATGTGCTCTAAGTGATATGACTTATAGGTATTTCTATTATAATGTTACATGATATGTTATGTATGTTAAAGGAATTATGTGATGGTATAAGAATTGATATGAAATATATATGTGAAAACAAGTATATGTTATGAGACAAAACCTATGATTATAAGCTACGTGAAAGTGTTCCTATATGTTATATGAAGTATATGATCATATGTGAACAAGATATGATGAGTATGTGTACATGAATAAATGTGGTTGGGTGAGAAATGATAGAAATTATATGAAAACATGTATAGGTGAATTAGCTTTATAATTAGGTAACTATAGGAAATCATAACTATGAATTATGTGATGTGAAAGTAATCTATGTGATTATATGTTATATACAAGAACATGAGATATGTGACATGTGAATTATATGGAAATGATCTACGTGTAAGTGAACTACGTGACTATGTGATAATATGAAAAGAAGCTATGTGATAAGTGATATGTGAAAGTGAATTACAAGTTATGTGAATATTTGAAATGAAATAAATGATAACGCCCATGTTATGTGTCATGAGAGCTAGGGGTATAGTTGGCATGCCAAGAGTCGAGGGTCTACGCGGTTCTTCGAGACATATGTATATTCTTTGGAACATGTGTGAAGTCTAGAAAGACACATACTTGATCCCTAGCATATGTATATGATTCTTAAAGAATTCTATGTGGTCCTTATGGACATTATTATATGGCACTACGGTGCAATTCTACGCGGTTCTTCGGGACATATGTATATTCTTTGGAACATGTGTGAAGTCTGGAAAGACACATACTTGATCCCTAGCATATGTATATGATTCTTAAAGAATTCTACGTGGTTCTTATGGACATCATTATATGGCACTACGGTGCAATTCTACGGGGCACTTCGGTGCATTTATACGAGCTATGGTGACAGCATAGTGCACAACCTCTATAGACTCACATATCGATAGTTCTCACATATGTACATGGGCTAATCCAGAGATATGAACAAATATAAGTTAGTGGTATGATAAATGCTATAGAAATGATATGATGTTGTGTGTGTATAGTGTTTGATTGAAAAAGTATGTGATTATATGATAAATTGTTAATGATGAATTATGTGTATGTATGTATTTACTGCAATTAATCTGATATGATTTTATACGATATGAAAAATGCATGGAATTGCTATAACATGATAGAACAGAACATGCATGTATCAATATATGTTTTAAAGTGCATTATAAGTTGTTATGCCTCACTAAGTCTTCGACTTAGCGTGTGATTGTTTCACACGTAGGTTTCGAGAAGAGTAAGGAGTGATGCGGAGCAAGACATGTCAGTTTTCCTTACCAAAAGATCAGATCAGAAATATTTGACAAAGTATGTATTTGGTTATGTATAAAGTGTTGGCATGTAATAAGTCATTAAATACGAGCACTCTGATAAAGTCTTTATTTTGATTTAAATAAAGTTTTAAATTTCCCGGGATTTTTCTTAAGAGTCAAGGTTTGAAAAGTCAATGTGACACTTCGGACTCGTATCCGGGTCGGATACGGGTTGGGGGTGTTACATTGCTGGTTTCACCACGCTCTGCTACAGGTTTCGAACGGGTGAATACTGGCACACGTGGTTTAACTGATCTAGAAGAGCTGGGTCGAGCTATCGAACGATCCGGAGAGTCTCTTGTACCTTCAAACAATAATATTTATCAGTCCCAAATCCTATTTAATTGTTCAAAGCTAAACTTCTTAAGTATATAAGCATTTGTCGGGTTTGACTATCAATTTGAGGTATTTCGAGTCTGAATTTGGCCAAACGGATTGCGGAATCGGAATCAGTGCGTCGAAAAACATAAAGTATGACTTTTCGAAAATTCAAATTCTTGGTCAAAGTTAAAGTCAACCACTTTGACCGTCGATTCGTAGACTTTTGGGTTCGAATTTGACAAAACGGACCACGGAAACGGATTCGGCACATTGAAAACTATCAGGATAGGTATACTCGGAAAAGATTAACGATCGTTTAATAGCCGGTCAAAGCCGATCAAAGTTTTGGTCAAAGGAGGTCAACAAACTGTTGAACATTTTACACAAATAGCACACTTTTTAAAATATTTACCAAAATAGCACCCATTTCTAATTAATTATCATAATAGCACAAAACCGAATTATTTACCAGAATAGCACCAAAACTGAATTATTTATCAGAATAGCACCAAAACTGAATTATTTACCAGAATAACACCGGTCAACAGTCAACGGGTCGGGTCAACGGGTCGGGTCGTGACCGGTCAAACTCTTAAGAAAACCGATTGAACCGGTCACTCACTCGCCCTACGACGACGCGTGTGGCGCGTGAGGTGTCCTCCGGGGCTCTAAAAATTACGGAAAAATTTCTAAAAATTATTTTGAGCGTTTTCGAGATACTTACAAAGCTCGGTTCAAATTTTTGAACGTCGGAGAGCTCGAATTCATCAAATCGGGAAGTTTGACCGGTTCACCTCCACACGCGTCGCCTCCGCCGAAGAAAAAGGGGAACACCGGTGGACTCGGAACGGCACAAGGAACATGATGGTGCGGGAGGTGTCGTAAACGGAGCAACGATCAACGGTGAATTTAAGATTTTATCGGCGATAGAGCTAACAAAACCGTCGCTACTTTGACTGGAAATTCCCGACGTTTGGCCGCGTTTCGCTTCAATTAATTTGAAGGGTTTGTTCCTCGCTCGATGATGAACACAACGGTTATTTCAAAACAACGATCGGAATTCGGACGACGTCAGAATCGAGTTTGGAAGTTGTGTGCGTGAGGAAGGATTTGTGAAATTGATTTCTGTTTTTCAAAACATAAATCACGCCTATAACAATTGCCTGCCGACACTCCAAAGTTAAATTCAGGGCTTGGTCCTTGAATTTTTTTTAACTTTAAAACAAGCTCTAAGTTTTAAAATCTTTCAATTCAGTCCCAAATTTTCGCCAAATTTTCACAATTAAACCCTCAAATTTCAATTAAATATTATTTTGAAAATCGGGTTGTTACATAATTTTTTGATAACAAATTCTAACACTTATTATAGGATCGTATTTGTATCTAACCGATCCGAACTGAAAATTAACCGATCCGATAATTACCTGACTCGATACGCTACCCGATCTGATTTACCGTATACCCGAAATCAAACGATCCGATATTGATCCGAACTGAAAATTAACCGATCCGATAATTACCTGACTCGATACCCTACCCGATCTGATTTACCGTATACCCGAACTAGATCCGATCAAAATTAAACTGAATTTAATATAGACCCAAAATTACCGATATGAATAACCCGTTTGTCACCTCTATTTAAAAGTAAATAAAATTTATGATTTATATATTAAAATATTAATAGTGAATTATATAAAATATATTTTCATTCTAACTATATTTTTTATTTGTATTTTTTATATTTTAGTTTAGTTTAAATTAATATAGTTCATATATAAATGTAAATATAATTTAATGCTATATTTTTAATTTACAACATAATGTCTGTAATAAATATTTTATCTTTTTAAATTTATTTTTTAATAGAAATCTCAAAAAAATTAAATTTTAATATGTATTTTTGTACGACTTTTAAAAATTTGTTTCTATAATACTTTTAAAATTCAATTTTCAAAAACTATACCAAACGGCCAAACATGTTCAAATTTATCCTCGTTTATATCACTAATTCTTTTATATTTTTAAAAAAAAATGTATAAAACAGATATTTTATCTACTTAAAAACATTTCACGACAACAATTCCGAACATTCAATCTTTAAACAGAGCAACCCAAAATTAATTTTCAGAATCACTCTTAAAAAGTACTTTCTAAAAGCATTACCGAACCGGAAACAGCCAGTATCAGATGATTTCCCGATGGATCAACTAATCCAGAATTGCGGTTGTTCGATTAACCTGTCATTTGTTACGAAACCAAACACCATGTATTCAACATAATCTTTCATTAACTTCATTAACAAATGTCAGCTGCATTTCTGGTTGTGCAACAAAGGATTGTGTTAAAAACCTAGCTATGTGCATGGGCTCAGCAATTCATCAACCTACTAACCAAACTACGTCATACCATTGGTCTTGCTGCCATAGACAGTCGATGGTAATGATGTTTGGCCTTTATTCATCGGTAACAGCGAGTGTACTTTTGAGCAATAGCAACAAAACAAAATTTTTCAAAGAAACTAAGAAAACATATATTTCAGACCTTACTATTCAGCGTGAAATAATAAGTTCAGTTTGTTCTTAGTACTGCAGAAAACACAATGTCCTTCAGAAATACACCATCGATTTATCAATTCGACGGTCACGGAGGAGAGACGCCAATTAAACAATTCAAAAAACAAGAGAACACCTTGCCAGAAAGAAAACTCATGATCAAACTTTAGGGATGACTTTGTTGGGAGAGACAACCCCCGCCCTTGAAGGATTAGTCTTCATATACCCAAAACGAATATAGAGGATATCTTGGTTCCACCAAATAAATAAATAAATGAGTCATGATAAAATTCGAATGGTGAACTGAAGACTATTTTTAACATCTCAATTCTTCATAAGAAATATAATAGTATGTATGTATGTACACTAAATGCGAATTGAGCCAATATAAAAAGTATGATGCATATTCAGCATCCTCTGCCATATAAAGTTGATCTCGAGAGCTTGGACACAGAATTTTGGGAAGCCTCAGCAAACTCAGCGGGTGGCACAGGGTGAACTGGGATATTCTGAGCTATTTGCAGATTAGTGTCAAGAGATGCCTCCGATGGTAGTGTACCAGATGCAGCAGGCCTGAAGTTCATATTTGGTAATGAAGGTGCCTTGATAGGGTAAACTTCGGTAACTTCTTCAGTGTTCTCATCCAGATATACAACATCCTGCATGGTGAGTTGGTGGTATTCAACAACTTCCCTTAGGAAGTGATTCTCACGTGCATAAATGGATTTCTCATGAGCCAGTCGTGCCTTCTCTGCCAACAGTGTCTCAAATTGAAGACGAATCTGAAAACGGAAATATTTCTTTATCAAAATTCTGGAATGGTTTACATGTCGAAAACTTAATTACTTCCCTCATCACTTTCAATCCACACTGGAAATTAAAATGAACTTTATGTTACAAGTGGAATAAAAGAATAAAATGTCAGGTCAGCTCAGCTAGAAAATCTGATCATGTTTTTACATAATTTGAGTGCTTAACTTTGGGCTGCATAATGAGCCACTCATGCTGGTGATGGTGTTCTTTTTCATAGAAGGGATTCTGCCTACATGGATAATGAGGCACATCAGGACATTATGTAACATTGTAAACAAAATGAAGCTCTGATTAGGCTATCTTTCACTTCTGTTCCTATTATACATTCCCTTCATCCAGTGGGAGGTAGAAAATGCTACATGCATCAGCTCCAATCATTTGAGACATCTTATTATTACAGAAAATTAAGTGTGGTTTTAACAGCAGTTTTTCTTTATATTGGTTCAAAAAATGGTACAAGTTTAACAGTAGAAGGAATATTATGATATTATGTACAGTTAATTTCTTACAAATTTTTAATCAAATTAGTAGTAAGATGTTAAAAATGCAGGTTGAATAATGTGCGGGTAATTGGTCCTTCCAAGGAGTAAATATGAACCCTATTGCAAACAAAAAAGGCACCCAGATCCTTCAGATGAGTAAAATATAATAAAAGATAAAATGATGAAACTGCATACCAAGTCATCATCATCTGTGTTATCTCCTCTTTCATGATTCTCGCGAAGGATTTTATTTTCTTCCTCCAGCTGAGCACATCTCTCCTTGGCAAAAGCCAAATCAGCTTTGACAGTGTTTAGCTCTCGGAGAAGAAGCTTTGCCTTGGCAGCCATAGCCATAGCAACCTGTTAAAATGTTAAAGAGAAAATCATGCATCCAATTTCGTACGAAAGTTATAACATAAAAAATTAAAATAATGAAGAAAAGATCTATGCAATTTGTTTCACATCACCTATAAAACAACCTGTCTTCCACATGATGAATACTATTTGATTTTATATTGTCATGCTCCTAAATATATGCCATTGATCTTATAAACAGCTTTTCAGAAAAGGTTTCAAGACATCGTTAACAGAGAGTTACATCAAAAATAAGAAATAAAGAAGAAAAACAATCTTATATTTTTTGAATGTTCAAAACAATTGTCACTTCTATATTGCTAAACGAAAATCTGAAATGAGGCCTCTAGAGCAAGAAAACCACAGGTTATGAATTGCACACAGCAAAATATATCCAACGTATGAACCAGTGACACAAAGTGGCCACCTTACGTCGCGAGATGCCTTCAATTGGATTTCTGTATCAGCTTGCACAGATGTTCGTTCTTGGTGCTGCATTTGTTGTTGCTTAGAAGCCTGATTTGGTGCCATAGAACCACTAGGCTTTTTCCTGATATGCTTGCGGGTCTCTTGAATGATACCTACCGTCCTATTCTCCACAACAGAAGACCCTCCTGAATGCAAATTGAAGAAGAATGAATAACTATAGGTTTGTAATGATTTCACGAAGTACGAGAGAGGCATGATAGTGGTATGACAAATAGATTGACATGTGGTAAACATTTGGCTAGCAAAAAAATTATAAGCAGAATGGAATAGTTTAAATAAATCTAAAGTGTCCATTCTTTTTTCATTTTTTCCCTTTCTAATTATCAACAAACAAATTATAAAATCAAGCTAACTGATACTAGAAACATTTGTATATTTATTACCAGCAAAAAGTAAGGGAAATGAAGAAATGAACGAGTAAAGAAGCATATCCATCTATGCTGGCACACTTGAACAAGTGATTATATCAGGAAAAAAGAAAATCCAAAGAAAAATAAAGAACTTGGAATGGAAAAGGAAATGAAGTGTATCATGAAGCCGCAGCTGCTTATTAGTATATAGTAATGTGTTGACCAAGAGCGCAATGTTGGACTCTGACCTTCTCAGGGGTTGGCCCTTGATGCATCTCAGATTTAGATTGTCCGCCTGACTCAAATTGGTGGTGCTCAGGATCGTCATCTAAAAAGGCTTTAGCTTTCCTAGCGAGAGAACCCCAAAACCCTTGCTTGGATTCATCTAAATTTCTCAATGAGGCATATTGATGAGATTGGGAGTCCTGGAGTCAAAAACGAGATAGAAAAGTTCGGATTTTTAGGAGGAAAAAGACTAATCAGCACACAGAGGAAAAAAACGTAGATCGAACAGAAGGGTTAAAAGAACCTTGGATGTGACGGTGGGAGTGGAGAGAGGAGCAGATGAGGAATGAAGGGAACCATAGCCGTAAGCAGCGGAGAGAGAAGAATCTTTGCGGGCGGAAGATGCCCTTATGGCTTTGGCTGTATCCACTTCAACGCTTATCAAATCATCCGCTGATGGTGAAGAAGGCAACATTTCCTGCTGTTGCTGCCTCCTTCTGTAAGCCATTTCCTTCCTAATCCTTGTTCCTATTTATTTGCTCAATCCATCTACCTTTACTACACGTTTTCGTTCCTGCTAGCTTCAATCTCTCCAGTCCCAAATCTATCTTTCCATTCCCAATGCCTATAGGCCAAAACGAATTTTCTTTTCCTGTTTCCCTTTGATAAGAAATTAAACTGCAGGTTTAAATGATGCAGACATCCCTATAGCCATGCATCAACGCAGATGCTGATGAGCTTGCGAAACTAGGAGCAAGGAGTCCATGGCATTTTTGGTCTTCTTTTTTATACCTGTCTTGTAACTTTGTATCATTTTGTTCTTTTGTTTCAAGACATCCTGAATATTAAAAAGGTTCAGTAACCAAGTAAAAAAAAGGTTTAGTAACTAAAACTGACGAGGACGTCAGGCCGGGTCATTCAAGTAAGGTAATTTTTAACACACGTTTGGTTCACGGAATATAAGATTATCAGTAAGAATAAAAGATTATCAGAGAATAAGATTATAGGAAATGTTGTATTTTGTGTTTGGTTGGTTTAGCAAGAACATAAGATTACCGTGTTTGGTTAAATGAATAAAAGATTATTGGAATGTATATTTGATCAAACTGTCCTTATTATATATTTATTTTTTTAACAAGTTGAAAAATATTTATATATTTTCTTTAAAAAATTTAAATTCATAAAATTTATATATTTTTTACAAAATTGAAAATATAATAAGGTTTAGTGAAATTGTAAAATTTTATTTTAACCCTTGGACTTCATATAAAATTTTAATTATAGATTTTTTTTTTGTAAATCTAAAATAGTTTAAAGATAAATTTGTAATTTAACCTTCGTAGAATTTTTATTATTCAATGATAGAATAAAGATATTTTTGAAAGAAAAAAAAAATTAAAGGCATTTTAGTCCAAAACATCGGTAATCCAACAATACCTGAGGAAAGGGAGATAATGACATTCCCGGTAATATACTCAAAAAAATTTACTATTAGTAATGTAAGATTAACAGGGGAATATGGATTTTATTCTCATGGGAATCTCACATTCCCCTAACCAAACACACCCTTAGACTCGACGATATAATATTTTAAGTATTAACTTGACAATATAATATAAACAGAGAGTTGATCCACAAAATACAACTCAAACAATTTTAAGATCGAATTTTATCATATCCTAATTAACATATTAATGATCACCTCAGACGATCACCATTTTTTTTTATAGAAAATTATAAATTTAAAATATATAAATAGTCAAGTGATCATTTTGTAACTTTTGATAATCGGAGTACTCAATAAAATATCATCCTATAATTGAAGGATCATAATTTTTAATAGTTATAAGATTTAACAAAACAACACCATATAATCATTACCATATGTAATTTACTTTTAAATTTATTACTTAAAAGAGGGTTAAGAAGAAAAAAGTTTATAGATGCATGATGCCATAAAAAATTATTACACTTAAATTTATGATATAATATAATTAAATTATAGTTTAATTTTTAATTTTTAAAATATTTTATATTTAAATTATTCTACAAATGTAGTGTACTTGTCGAAAAAACTACTACTAATAACAAAGAAAACAGACAAGGATGGTTGGCCGGGGTGAGGCGCAGATTCGAATCCCAAAATGTAAAATTATGTTGGATTGAGTTTGAGTAGGTTATTGGGTTTAACTTCGATTTGGCTTAGATATTTGCTTCTGGCATTCATATTTCAGTTTTTATTTTCAACATATTTCTTGGTTATGGGTTTGTGTTCTCAAAATTGAAATCCATAAACTGTAAAACGTTTATTCCTTCCTCACACTCCACCGTTCTAGCCTCCAGCTGTGCGCTCTCGGTTCGCAGTCGTCAACGGTTGCTGGGTCATCGCAGCAGAAGGAAGATAAGAAGAAGAATTTAGCTCGTTCCCTTTGCAAAGCCACACACTGGCAAAAAATCTATGTAAGAAAACCAAGCTCGTCCACAAAGGTATTTTTTTTCAATTTGTTCTTTTAATCAAAATCATTATATGCAAATTTTAGCCGTGAACATAGTTTCTTCCTTTGTTAGAAATTGTTTGTCGGTGACCACCATTGACTAATAAGGTTCCCACAGCTTTGTTGTTTTTACTACATTTGATTCTTCCCAAACAATATCCATTCCAAACAATAACCAAAAAACTAAATATTTCAAGTTGTTAGAGTTTATGATCCGAATTCTGTAACAATTCCACAGCTGACAACAAATTACATGTATGCATCAAACATTAACGTTAGTTTTTCAAAAGATAGCAAGATGAACAAAATCCAAAGAATCCAATTGCGAAAACTAACCTATCCAAAAGACAGATAAAATGATTCTAAAACATAGCGATTAAAGCTTAACCAACTCTGATTAAATTGTAAAATGTCGACTGGTGCATGCTAGAATAGAAGGTGTCATTCTCTGGTCGGGGGTCATTAGGTTGAAACATAGGTGTTCTGTAAGGAATCCAGAGCAAGAACAAATGGCAAAAGAGATATCATTGTTTTGTTTTAATGGAAGGGATTTGAAGTGTTATCCAGAAATGGTTGAGCATTTACTTTTCCTTCTTTTGGTTTGTTTAAGTGGTCCTTCAGGAAAAGGTGTGGGAGCTGTTCCTTGAATTTGACAAGCTTGATTATTATTATGAGTGTAAACCATTCGAGTTAAGCTTAAATTAGGCTCCTTTTTCAACTCAAGCTTAAGCATTAATCAACAATAGTTAAAACCCGAACAACTTGTCGGTATACATATCTATGTACCTTTATTCCCTGCAAAAGGAAAAGGTTGTTTTTCTGTAATATGTTCTTAGTAAATTCATTTTTTTGTGCTCTGCAAATCTGCCATTTTTTCTTTTGATGTGATTGATGGTTTGGCAATTGGCATTGATGAAATTCTTAAAAGACACATCTCTTGTGATTTCACTTGAAGTGATACAGTAATTTGGTGATTGCTTGTAGTACTGTGAAGAAATGAAGCGTACTGGAGTTCCAGTTACAAAGCATATTTTTATGGCACAAATAAATGCATATGCAGCTTGTGGGCAAATTGAGAAGGCAAAACAGGTACGTATGCATTTAGCACTTAGCAACTATAGAAGTCGTATACTTCTCATCTGTTAAATAAGCATGTCAAACTAATGAATGTAACTCCCGTACATAAAGAAATCCTTTGTGAGTACCTAATTATATGGAATATATTTCAAGTACAATTTATGCATTAAACCCATTTTGACGTCTCTTATGGTCTTAAAGGATCTATTTTATATTTTAGGTAGTCTTGGACAAAATGATACATGTTTGCAGCATAAATGAAATCAAGAGTGTGCTCGTGTCAGCTCTTGCGTTGAATGGGATGATGCCTAATGCATTAAACCTTTACAAGGAAATCAAGCAAAATGGGGGGACTTTGGAACCTAAAGTTGCTATCGCTCTTATTGTAAGTTTACGACATAACCTTTGTTTTCTTTTTTCCTATAACTACAATAATCTTAATTATCATCTCTACTATCTCTTGGGAGCATTTTACATCCGAGGGAGAGTTGAGTATATTATTTCAAGTACTGGAGGAAATACAGGATCCAGACTATTGGGTTGATGGATGTTGCAGACTAGTCTTACATTGTGTTAGAAATAAGCACTTAAGGTTGGATAACTCAATAATTTTCATTTTCTGGGGAATTTATCTACTTTACCTAGTTTTCTCATTGATCAAACTCTTTATATAGTAATCTTTTATCTTCATTTTGTTAATTGATTGTTTGATCTTAGATCGACTATTGATTTGCTCAAGCAGCTTAATGATAAGCTTCATACCAATGATTTGGCTATGGAAGCTATTTTCGACGAGGTTTTTTCCTATTCTCTTTCTTGATTTTGTGTATACATCTTGCTTTTAATGCCCTTACCCATCTTAGTATGGTTGAAACTCGAAAAAGAAACTTGAACACTTGGTTGTTGCACTCAGTCATTAGAAGACAACAAGGGGGGCTTTCTATCTCCAAATGTATGCGAGTTTTTACAAATGTTGGTTGGCAAATGTTTTATGCCTTTTTCTTTTCTGCACCTCTCATTAATATGTTATCTCGTGTGTTTATCTGAATGCATTTGCCTTACATGGTTCCATCTCTTAATTGAATATATTCTGTGTAATTGCTGAGAAACAACCTAATTATTTAAGGCTTGTCCTGGCTTTGTTTTAAGTCATAAAGGATGAATTTGGCCTTACCTCTTCTCGTAAAAGTCTTGACTTTCTCCTTACTTCTTGCTAAACGCAAAACATTTACAGAACTCTCTTTTAATTTGGAGTGAATATCAGGCAGCTAGCCTTCGTTTCAATGTTTTAACATTCTTAAGGTTAGTAATCCTCCCTCAGTCTTCTTTTCTCGGCTTTGTTGCTTTGTTTTTAAAGTCTATGTATAACCATTTCATCAATCAGTCGTCTCCTTTGATGGATTGAATTGTTGTGTTCTCTTGCAGGATGTATCAAGTCCTTTTGGCTTCAGGAGATCCCAAGTCTGCGAAGAGTTTGCTAACCAAGATTCCGATGGACGACCCGCACGTTCGATGCATTATCAAGGCATTTCAAGAGACTTATCTTCAGTCATCGAGCATAACAAAGACAGAGAAGCAGAAGCTGAAGAATAAAACATGAAAAATACAATCATCCATGAAATAGTTAACATGAAGGAAAGCTAGAGGAATCTACATGTCTTGATTAAAATGTGTAAATGACATTGATCAAGGGAATTATACCCTAATGAAATCCTTAATTAATGTCGTGGACATTGATGATCATTTATGAAAGTTTTAGCAACAAATTGAAGCAGTGAAATTTAACTTGTCAAATTTGAATCCAAACATGAAAATGATTCGAACAAATATACTTATTTGTTATATCGAAATATCAAAATATTTTTAACAATATTATCGATGAATTTTTATTTAAATATTTAAAATTTTGCTTGTTAAAAAATATAGAACAAGGACAATTTGGTAAAATATACATTCCAGTAATTTTTTATCCCTTTAATCAAATACTATAATCTTACATTTATGTCAAACAAATCAAATATAGTAATATAACATTCTCAGTAATCTTATTCCTTATCTTTTATTTCCACTGATGATCTTATATTTCGTGAAACAAACACACGTTTAATCAACCT